TTTATGAACCCACATTCAGTCTGTCAGTCCAATCAAGATATAATTGAACTGCGTACACGTGTTTAATAAATTATCATTTACAGCCATTTGTCAATCCACTGCTGGATGAACGCCTTGCCACGCGCTATATTGGCCATGGTTGTTTTGACCATACTTCACCACGCTGGTGAGTGCGGGTTTGGGAAATGAGAGAACTCAGGACGAGTTCAAATGGGCTCCGGTGCAGTTGCACCGCCTGCACACTCGATGGTTACGCCACTGGCCAAGGCGAGGAATATTAACTTTGGTAGTCAGGTTCATTGCTTAACGCACTAACCACGACCCCACACCACTCCACCTCAATATGAAATAAATATGTTGTATGTTTGTATGGATACTGTATGAGTAAAAAAAATATCTCTACGCTCAAATGAACGTTGGGTGTAATTTGTGACCGAGTGAATGAAACTCCACGTTGATGTGGCAGAGACCAGCCCATCCATATGACCACAGTCCTGTGAGTTCACCAATAGGATTGCGCCATTTGGCAGCGATGCCCTTTTGCCCTTAACGCGAATGCGGATATCGTTATGGTTTCCACTTGTCGAGTACAAAAATCGGGACGCGTGATGGAAAAGAAGAATATCTCACAATACCGAAAGAGGGGACAACTACATAATACGTGCGTGGTCTTGAGGCGTGAATTACTAGGAAAGTAACTTCAAAGAAATTAAGAAAATATTTTGGAGAACAAAAAAAACCCGAGACAGTTGGCAACCACGGGTACATGCAGTGTAAAGTAATGCATGTTTAACTTGACGTCGTCTCCTACAGCCCCAGTTGTGTCCGCATGCCTTGTGCACCTTGTTACCTGGCCACGGGTGTGTTGTACAACGGCAGCGGTGAGTCGTTGTGGGTGGGTGGGTGGGGGGCACAGGTGCGGCTCCCGTGAGCAGACCGAATGGGGTATTGCCACGTGTAGGACACAGTGGCTATACATAGCCGTGACGCGCCTGGGTAAAACGTCAGAAGCACAATAATATAAATATATAACGATACAAATATGCAGCTGTACGCGAGTGTCTGGCCTGTAAGTGGCCACTTTTGAATTGCCCCGAGAATTGCATTTCACTGTTGAGAGTGGCGCTCAGAGTAGAGTGGGACTATGACTTAAGAGGAGAATGGGATTTAAACTGGTTAGAGTAGAATAAAGATCATGGTGAAATTGAAAGTGAGAATTTATCAGGATTTAAACTTGGATTCACGTGAGATTCAAACTCAAAACTAAATAAAATTAAACTTACACTCGAGTAGTTCATCTTCTTGGTTCTTTCGGTAAAGTCACGTAGAAGGGAAGTAATAAAATAATAAAAAATAAAACATAATAGAATAATTCTCACGACGTTTCGGCCACAACGCAAGCAGCCGTCCTCAGGTGAAAAACAGGTCTGTCGTCTGACGCTGTCTCTCCGACAGACCTGGTTTTCACCTGAGGACGGCTGCTTGCGTTGTGGCCGAAACGTTGTGAGAATTATTTTATTACGTTTTTTTATTGTATTACTTCCCTTCTACGTGACTTTACCGAAAGAACCAAGAAGATGAATCCCTGCAGTCACGAAAGCTTTAAATCGAAACTCGAGTAGTTTTTAGATTTAGAGATTAAATCTCTTTGACCATACTTCTCTGAATAGAGTAAGATTCAATCTTCAATTGAGTTTGGAATTCGGCTTCTAACTAGACTGGGGTTCAGGTTCCAGCTAGACTAGGATTCAGGTTCAGGTGAGAGTGCATTTCTGGTGCAGACTCGAGTGGGATACACGTATTGGTATGGCTGGAGGTGTAATGTAAGCTGCAGCAACAAGTTAACGAAGCAAAAGGGCAGGAGTTTTGTTGGAAACTGGCTTCAGTTGAACACACATTTTGTTAAACATCTTAATGAAAGTGTAAACATCAAACCAGAACCTACTAAACACGCGTACACGCACGGCCATGCTTACAAAATCCCCAGATTGCCGTTTGATTTTCGCTGATATATTCGTATCAGTCAGTTTATTTTGGGTAAGAAGAAGCTTTTGTAATATGAGCGTTGACCTGACCAAAACGGCTGATATGACGGTAGCCAGCACGTTACATGGGAAGAGAGGGTTTTCAGGGGCTGCATTTCACAAAAGAGTATACCTACACACACACAAATACACAGTCATTTTAAACATTGTACAGTATTGCATTGTTATTTCTGACAGTTCTGGGTCCATCCGTGTTCTGTTAGGCTCTGCATGAAAAAGTACGAATATATATTTAACGTGTTCGTTTTTTTTGTACATGGAAAAAATAAACGTTTTGGTTGTCAGTTGTTGCACTTTTAAAACAATGCGTCATTACATGTAGGTTATACCTGCAATTTAAAGTCTGATTTCATTGCATCACGGGTCTCACTCAAACATTACAGACGTAGACTTTATCTATGGGACCCTTTTTGCCAATATCACGATGATACAAAAAAATGGAGGTGTTAAAATGTTCATAGATATAACTGCTGAACCATGGATATTAATTATTTGGCGTTTCCATTGTCCTTGTACTTTTCGCCTTTTGGCATTCTCTGATCGAAGACTTGTGAGACAAGGCCATGAAGTCTTCGGTGAAGGCCAATCAGTTTCAAGGACAAGGTGTCTATTATGTCTATTATCAAAGCATATTTGTTGGCATGTTTACCACAATTATGGTTAGTTAATGTACACTTGATGCCTTCTGAAAGATGTCTATTTGGTGTTTGAACATTAACAACTGTATTAATTGCCAGGAAGGGGAGAAGTATTTTCTCTTTTTTTAGCAGACATAGACAAGTGACTTTTAATTGCCTCTCTGGTGTGTAAAAGGAAAACAACACCAAAAAAAACCAAACACCGCATCTTCTTTAGTAGATACACACCGAGAGTATGTGTGTCTCGGTGTGTTAGAAACGACGTATGAAACTTCGTTTGTGAGAAAAAATACTTTCAATTTACGGCTGAATTTGTCATTATGGCACTGTGAAGAACATCACCGCGATGCAGTGGTGTCACGATGGTGCAAATGGCAGCGCACCTCACCATAATCGGTTCCCCCCAATCTTATCCCGATTGTGCTACCCGCGCCGTGCCACGTAGTCTCCATTGGGATATTTTGCAGAGCAGCGGCAAACTTCCTGTGTCCGAGAATGGCCCACGGAATCAGATTTTAGAGAACTACTTTCGGCGGCCCCTTCAAGTTAACGCTGATAACGAACTACAGTCTTTTTTTGTATTTTACCAGGTAAGGTCTAGTGAGCTATATAGCTGTTTCCAGAAACGACCTGGTCACAAATGATAGCTCAACGAAGTGGCTTATCATCATGTAGAAATCTATAGCAGCCAAATATTCTAAACGCACGTTGATTCTAAATGTGGAGGGGAAAACCGAAGAAAAATCCACGCGACCACGGGGAGAGAGACACGCAAACTCCCACAGCAGAGAGTTCAACACCTAGCCATCCATCCTGCCAAATAAGATAACACTTTTATCATTATATAAATATAAAATAATGCAAAATTCAGAGCCAAATCTGTAGACAATTCATCGGTCATTGGGCTGAGTCCAATCACCTGTAACAATTGACACTTGAGTTTGACCTAATATTCTAAACCAGGATCTAAGCAGTTCCAGCTCAGCGCCCTAACCTCTAAGCAACCCAGCCACCTCGCTTGACCCGAATGTTCTTCAGGTATTTTTTTCCCTTTACCAATGAAGCATCAAACGAACTAGTTTCAGACAGCCCAGCCCAGAATTAAAACGTGGGTGTGGTAGCGCATGCCTGTGGTCCCACACTTTAGAGGTAAGAGTTGGTAGATCAAGCAGAATTCCCAAACCCTGCAAGGCTGTGATTTGGCCATGTAGATGGCAGTACAGAAAAACATATGTACGCACCGATCCGTGTGCAGCTTGTGAGTGTTAACCCCTAGCATTGTATGGGTCATCACCTCCTACATGAAGCCAAACTCTGATTAATGGAATCGGCCGAAATATCGCAATGCGGCACCCTCTTCAAAAAATATAGCCTTGAGACTCGAAGTGAGAATTTTCCTCAATACATGAATTACCTTTACCGCATGATAATACGCATTGTAATACAAAAACAAGTAATTTACTAAATATCCCAAAGCAGGATCCTCATAATTGTGGCTTCCTTAGGTAACCTCCCCCACTTTAAAGGCAGATCAAGATACTCACACCCGAGGGTATTTGGCCTCCTCTTCCACGCTAGCCAGACATCTTGGGAGAAGTGGAAGTACCTACACTTTACCCCAGGTGTGTGTATATATATACTAAGGGGTGGACAGAGGTGGGTGGAGTTTAAACTATAGAATAAACAGCGTCCATTGTTTCATATACCGTGCCGGGAGATCGAACGGGCCATGCTTCCAATATTTCAAGCCCTTCTCGCTAAACATCACACCGCCTTCTTCTTGGTTCTTTCGGTAAAGTCACGTAGAAGGGAAATAATAAAACGTCGTGAGAATTGTATTTTATAATGTTTTATTTTCATTATTTTATTATTTCCCTTCTACGTTACTGTACCGAAAGAACCAAGAAGATGAATCCATGCAGTCACGAAAGCTTTAAATCAAAATTACACCACCTTATTTGCGTGTTTGCACGCCGTATCGTTAGGTTAGGGAGAGAAAAAAAATCCAACTTAACGCATCAATCTCAACCAACCCACACCCCAAGCGTGACCAGGTATGTGACCACGTGTGAAGCCTGTCACACACGCTCTAACATTCCCTACAACACATACGCCGCATTGGCAGCATGCACGATTAGCGCCGCCCGGCTAATCCGCTCTAGCAAATACAATCGATTTAGGTCATGCCAAATAGAGACCCCCCAATATCCGCTGTTGCCGCCTGGCGGTTTGGGAAGGGGGCGGGGTGAGGGCAATGGTAGGGAATGGAGGGGGGGGGGGGTCCTTATTTAGCATCGCGCCTCCCAGGGCGTTTAAAAGCGCCGGTTGCCCTTCCGTGGACGCTCCATGTGCCTGGTTCGGCAGCGGTGGCGCGCACACTTTTGCCCGCTCCTCGCTCTCCCACGTCCCCCTCCTTTATTTTGACGTCTCGTAAAATAACGCCGTTTCGTCATTCGCCGTGAAACTTTAAGGGAGAAGGAGGAGGTGGAGGAGGGGGGGCTGATAGCGAAGTGAATTAAAATGCGACTAAAAGTCGGAGTGGTTCTGCGCAGTGTGATCACGGGGTTCACGCTCTTCGTGTTGCTGGTGCTGTGGTCTTCCCTCACGGGGCAGAGAGACAGCCCGCCCCGGCAAGACGCAAGAGAACAGGTCTGTGTTGACTCCTCTTTCACTGTGCAGTTAATACGCAAATCTATACACCTTTATTTCGTGAAATTATCACGCCGACTGGAGGCAATTGTTGGTTATCCGCCTCTGAGAAACCGGCTTTGCCTGGGGAAAGCGGCCGCAGCCTGCGTGCAGGCCGCCGGCTTGGGCTTGGGCGAATTGAGCCCTTGATGTTGACACAAGGTGTCTCTTCTGCGTTAAAAGATCAACGTTTGCTTTAATGCATTTTTTTTTCTTCAAATTATACGCGAAAAAAATCGATTTGCAATCATGTCGCTTTGCTCGTACGTAATTTATTTTAAGTGTACGATATTATGTGCTAATGTTATATGATTATGCCAGCAGTGGATTGATCATGGCTGATGATCACTGGCATGTCATTTATTTATGAAACTTGTATCGATAATCAGCCTTGATCTACCCACTGCTGGCTGAATGCCAACCCCAGACAATTCGGCAATTCCTCTGGCGGCCTCGCCATGGTTACACTTTTACCATATGAGCAAGCCCCCTCCCTGCACACGACGAAACCCATTGTTGCTGTCCTTGTTTAATGAATCCTTAAGAAAATATCGATTGTCTCTTTTAGATTTGCGTTCCCCCATGGCGTTTACCTGGCGACGGTGGTGGTGGTGGTTGTTGTTGCTGATGGAGGGTCCAGCTGTGACTTGTTTCTTACCTTTTGGGTTTCCACAACTCCGTAGTTTTATCCTCGTCCTGCCTGCCATCTCTTCCTCCCTGTATAGAATGTGTCGGAACACTCACCAATGTAAAGTTTAATAACTTGTTATTATTATACATTATATAAACGCGTCCTTGACTTAAGAACCCCCCCCCCCACTCAGAACCACACAATTTGCTTTTTGTCCAAGATCTGATGGACCTGTAGCTTTTGGGATATTTTTGTTTTTAAACGTAAGTTAGGGAGATGGGGTGTGAGCCTTAGATATGCCTTCTTCCAGCAGTAGATGACCGGCTGATGATGATGATTATGATGCTAAGTACATCCATTTAATTGTTTCGAAACCCAAACCGCAAAGGAAACTTGTAGTGGCCTCAAGTTATATATGGCATTCAAAACATGCAGGAAAATGGTCTTTAAAACATCGACTTTCTTGACTGTCCACGGAATGTACTGTAAAGGCCAATTGAAGGCTAATTTTGCTGAAAAGGTTTTTTTAGTGTACCGGTAAATCTGTATAATTTTGTCTATATTTATGTTTCAAATCCCTGCACGTGTAACCGGTATGCCTTGCGGGTAAAACACTGTATCTTTATATAAACTGCCTTTTTAACATATCCTGTTCGGTATGTATCGTTTAAAAATTGTCAAGTAAGAAGCCCTTTTGTAAACCCACTGCCTGGCCACGCGGCGACCAGTCGTGGAAGACGTGTCCCCACCCTCGCTGGTCATTGCTGGTTGGTTGACGAGTATACATACATATTTACTTGCGATGTTCACAGTAGTTACAGTTTCTATAACATTTGAGCACATCTAACTCTCCCGTAACCGATTGAAACGGGATTGCGTTATGATTAAGAACAACGGCTGCATGTGGTCCGCATAGGCATACCAATTTTTATTACTTCTGTGCCCTGTAGATGCATAATTCCCAACTTGGTGCTGAACAGGGAGGGGTTTTTTTGCTCTGTGTAAGTCATTATTAATGTTTTTCTCAACCTGTTTTGCTCTGCCACAGTTATGCATTGCACAATGTCTTCTCTCCCACCAGCAACATCGGCATGGATGAGAAATTTGATACAAATAATGACCCAGCATTTCTTCCCCCACCCCACCATGTTCCTTCCATAACAAAACCGCCAATTTACCTGAATTGTTTGCACCTGGTTATAAAAAAGCGGCCTGAGTGATATTACATTTCCCTGCAGAACACTGCAAGAAAACTGGTTGAGGTTTCATATCAAACTACGATATTGTCCAGAGTCAAGTGCAGTATATATTAACTTACAGCCTTTTGTCAAGTGCTAATTGAAGGCCTCCTCCGGGCGTCTCCGTAATAGGGGTGGTTTGACCATACTTCACCACATTGGTCAGTGCAGGATGTCATCTTCTTGGTTCTTTCGGTAAAGTCACGTAGAAGGAAAATAATAAAATAATGAAAATAAAACATAATAAAATAATTCTTACGACGTTTCGGCCACAACGCAAGCAGCCGTCCTCAGGTGAAGAACAAAAAAAATTCAGTGCAGGGTGGTGAAGGCGGGTTGAATTCAGGACCCAGGTCAGACCTCACCTACCGTTGTTGTTAGCTGTGGTCAGGGATCAAACTCGGGTTGCTAGGTTCGTCGAACGGCACACTTACCCACTCCGCCACCACCACCTCTTCATGCCCCGAGTATAAGAATAGTTATTTTCCGTGTACCTTTAAACTTTTTGAGTGTCTGTGTATACAGTTATATACACGGTAATGTTTGTTGTATATGCCACTTCACCATCAGAAGAGTGTGCGTACTGTGTTCATGCAGTGGCAATGGAGCCCTTGTTAGAGTCCTCGAGTTCCACTTCATTCCCTCTTCATCCCAGTTATAGCCGGTCTTGTTGGGGCTGCCGCGTGTACACTTTTGCATTCATGGACACTTAAGCAGTTTGCTCATTGTTCTGAAGATCACGCCACTGCACTCTTAAGCAGGATAAAGAGATTTAGCAAAAAAAAGTTTCTTGGCAAATGGTTTCCAATATTTACCTATGGCATATATATGTTGTTTGTGTAATGTCAGCTGGCCAGCAATGGTGAGTGAAATGCAACAGTGCTTGGTCTGTTTGCTGTACAGTACCTGTAATGTTTCACAGGTCATATATTTGGAATGTCTCATTTATTTTAGTGAACATGCCTTTTTTTCTATCGTATTGTGAGCGCATTCGTGTGCAAATGAATGATTACGTGTAGGAAATTATAACTAAATATGATTCCCTTTAACCACAGAGCCTCGTGAATTGCAAGACTGTTTTGCAGGAGGGCCTGACCACATTAAGATCTTTATCCAATTTCATTTATGCAGGAATAAAATTCACAACACTCAAAACAAGGATAAATGTTGCTGTGCTGGCATCTTTTGGCTATCTCAGGCGTTTACGATTTAATGCAATCACCACCCACTGCCCCCCCCCCCCCACACACTTTTTAAAAGTGAGCTTTGTCTCCGTGGACTTCCACTTGGATATCATTAAAGTCCATGCGTGTGTGTTTACATCGCTGAAAGCTAGTAACACTTAATCAATCAGCCTCTGCGCTCTGTTCCAAATTAATGTTTCCCAGAAGCTTTTTCTCAAATGTGGCAACCTTGAACTGGATTCGCCATCTGCAACAGGCCTGCCGTTGCGATTCCCTGCCTTGGTAATTCATGAACCTCAGTGGTATCAGCAGCATGGTTAATTAACAGCACTGCCCTGATAATTAATATCCTTGTGTCCGCAATGCCTCGGACGTGCGTGTCTAGCAGCAGCAGCAGCAGAGGGAGCTGAACGAGCTTCCGAAGCCGCCTCAGGAGGATCGATTCCGACCCGTGATCCCCTGGCCGCACGTGGACGGACTGGAGGTAAATCTCGAGAACATCCGTCGCCAGAAGCACAAGCGGGAACAGCCCGGCGACGGTGGAGTGCCAGGCCCCAAGCCGGATGGCGACGGTCTCGGCGGCGGAGACAAAGAACCGCTCGATCGCTTCCATCCGAGGGGCGACGCGGCCGAACACAAGCGGGCCGTCAACAAGCAGTACCTAACGTTCAAGCCAAACAAGGTGAAGTACCCGGCGCCCATGCTGAAGCCGGGCGTCCTGGGCAACTTCGAGCTGCCGAACGGCGAGGCCCCCGGCGTGCCCGGCGGCCCCGGCGAGGAGGGCAATCCGGTGGTGCTGTCGCCGGAGAAGAAGGAGCTGGTGCCAGCCAGCATTAAGGAGTTCGGCTTCAACATGGTGGCGAGCGACGAGGTGTCGCTCGACCGCTCCATCAACGAACTCCGTCACGAAGAGTGAGTGTCGCTAACGCTTCCCCCCCCCCCCTACCATGCTCGCAGCTGCCGGAGTAGACGGTTGTGGTTTCGTTGGTTTATTTTATTTTTGTCTTGCCAGTTTTTGGTTCGGTTGCATCCTCGGCGTCGTGTCACGAGACTACTTGTTCACTTGGAGCGTCTCGTGGGGCATTGCAAACCTGTGTGTTAGAGAGCCTCCGAAATCCCTTCAAGTGGCCACGTTTTCATCAGCACACTCTGCTACAGAGTAATGTTTGTGAAATTATTGTAAAATATAATATATTATTTATTATTAAATTAAGAATTTTACTAAATTAAGGAAAAACTATATAGTAAAAAAAATATATATACACAGTTATTGATGATCACCTGGCTGAGACTCCGGTTTTACTACAGGTGGCTGAAACCCGGATTTGAACCCAGGAGCTTGGTGACTGTGTGGGCTCACTGCTCTGACCCCTAAGCCCGCTGGCCACCTCGCTATGCAAATGTCTAATTCTTGCATAGGAATTGTCGCAAGCAAAGTCGTTCTTGTACACACTTGTAAAAAGGATCGGGATTGCCTGGAGAAAACCCACACATATAGCGGGATAACACATGGTAATTTCAGTTGACATCAACATCCAACGTTTGTTTCAAGCCACCGGTAATACTCTTTATTGATTCGAATTTGATCAATACCTAAATAAGATATTTATTAAAAAAGTGAGAATCTTGTCGGGTGGTGGAGGGTTAATGACAGGAATTTTGGCTTAAAACTACCACATGGTCTAACCCTTTAACAAATATAGATCATGTTCCATAGTATTCATTCACCTGCATGTCAGTTATTCACCTGGCTTTATCTTAGAGTTAATTTCTGTCCCTCCATGGAAATACTTTTACCTGACTGTTTACTAAAAATGTATTTATTTTTTTACCAGGTAAGGGCCTACTGAGCTATACAGCTCTTTTTCAGAAGTGACCTGGCTAACAGAAATGATAGATCAACGAAGTAGCTTATGTGGAAATGCATAGTGGCCAAATACTCTAAACGTGTCATTCTAAATGTGGAGGGAAAAACCGGAGGACCCGGAGAAAAATCTATGCAACCATCGGGAGAACATGCAAACTACAAATATACAGGTGTCACAGAGGTCGCAAACGGGTTTTGATTCCTTACCCGTACCTGTACCCGGCCGCACCAGGGTTGCAAACGGGTACCCGTACCCGATACCCGGCCAGGTAGCCGGGTATCGGGTAGGGTACGGGTATCGGGTAGCCGATTGCAACCTCAGAGGTGTCAGGGTCGAGATTGAACCCACGGCCTCCTGTATACCAGGCGAGGTAGTTAACATCTTGCCACCGTGGACGCCACAGTGGCGAAATGGCGTTGGTGACTCTGCAAGTGAAATTTCTCCAAGCCAGCATCTGTGCAGTGATGCATTGTGCAAATGGCTCCGGTGTGTCTTCAGAGAGCAGCAGTTCCTGATTTTTTTTTCATTTTTGTTTTTCAGCACTGGTAGTAAAGCAAAGGTGACCTTTCAGGTTACTCAAAGCGGGCACGCCTTGAGTACAGTTTCTCTATAGTTTTATTGTCTTCGGTTGGCCAGAACGTAGCTGGTGCCACATTGACAGTTTTGCACCAAAGAAAAGGCGACGAGTGTTCATAGTGGATGTTTTTGGTCAAGTGAGATCAGAGTTCATTGTTCGGTTAGTGTACATAACTTATCACTCCCTTTCTCTAGCCGTTCATGCTGCCGATTACCTGCTCAAGCTCACACTTGCAACCTTGGCCTCTGGCTTTCACTGACTGGCTCTTTTCTTTCTATAAAATAAACATTCTCAGTGTCTGGACATCGTCAGGAGACGCAGTTACGCTTAGACGCTATATAAATCCACATTGTACTGTATTGTAAAGGAGGGTGTGTTTTTTTTGCTTCATGTACATTCAATTTCTGGGTACCAACAGTGGTTTTTGGTAGGGGTGTGTCATTTCACTATCGCAAGCTCGTAATTTAATACATCGCTCAGATTCGAGGGTCATACTTTAATCAAAGATAATTTTTACCTTTTTATGCACACTATGCAGGATGGAGTTGGGGGGGGAGTCCCATGAACCCATTACCTACAACGCATACAAAATGAGAATAATGGATGTTTACACAGGTGGTTCGATTTGTGTGTTGTCAACTTGAGACTAGAATCGATGTGGATTAATCGGTTCGACGTTACACTCCCAGCAGTTATGAACCTGGCCTGCCCCTCGTCTAAGTTGAGGAGAGCTTAAAATGACTGCAATGCTAAGTGCAGTGTCGTACACAAACTCATTTACGCCTTGCTATGGAGCATCGTGGGTAAAGCAAATACAGTTCGATGCACTCGAATATAACGCCATTCTTTCTCGCCACTGGAAAATAATACACTTATTTTTTTACCAGCTAAGGCCCACTGAGCTACATAGCTCTATTTGAGAAGTGACCTGACCACAAACGATAGCTCAACGAAGTGGCTTATCATGTGGTGGAAATTTATAGCATACATACAGGGCAACCAAATACTCATAAGTGCATGTTTCTAAAGGTGGAGGGAAAAAACAGAGAACGTAGAGAAAATTCACGCAACCATGGGGAGAACATGCAAACTCCAAATATAAAGCTTAACACATAGGCTTTTGCGACCAATATCCATGAAAGGCTTTTTTTGTGTTAGATCGCATAAATATAATATACAGCTGGTGTCAGGGTCGGGATTGAACCCACGACCTGCATACCATGCGGGGAGGCAGTTCACGTCCCGCCATCGTGGCTACACATGTACCCTCCTGGCCCCCACCAACCACACTAACCAGTGCGGTGAATTTTGGTCAAGTAACTTCCACGACCACCTGTGGAGGGGCCCTCATCCATCGATGGATTAACCAAAAAAAGGGTTCTACTTGTACAGGTATAGGAGCCTCTCAGAGTAAAAGTAATCGGGGTCCAGGGTGAGAGTGCAACACAAGTTTACCCACCCACCTTTATGAATATATACGCAAACATGTATATGTTAACATATTCCTCCAGGATGCACCTGAAAGATGTAACTCGATGCAGCATGGTCTCTCAACAATGCTCGGTCAATTTGCCGAGGTCGATTTGCGTTTGCCAGGTCGTGGTCGGGCTGCGGAGGACACTGAGCCGCCTAAAGAGGAGTCGATGTTGTTTGCACAGCGATAAGGCAGTGTGTAGTGCGCTAATGATTAGCCATGTAATACCCTCTCTGGCAGTCATCCATGACTGGGCTGGCTCTGCTGGTTAGCTGGCGTGCGAGATCTGCAGGAAAGTTTCCTGTTTGCATCTAGAACGACGTGGCACAACCTTAGCGGTGGCTATGCTTGGTTGTGGGGGCGTTTGCGAGTGCGCCTTGCATATATTTATCTTTGCGTGCAGCGCAGCGGTTGGGTCTGACTTAATTCTTATTTGCATACAGGTTTCCACAGAACAACTTGTTTTAAAGCAAGTTCCCCCCCCCCCCCTCTTTGTGGCTTTTACGTTTTAAAAAGCAAAAAAAACCCTCCGTGCACATTTCAAAACTCCTGTATAACAGGTCACCATATGACCTGGAATCTGCCCGATTCTATCGTATCACAGAAACTAAGCAGGGTTGAGGCTGGTGGATAGTGCTTGGATGGGTGACTGCCATATGCAGGTAGGTTGTTGCGAGTCTGCGTGGCTATGTGGTGGGCAGCAGAGGACCGTCCAGCAAAATCCATTGCTTTAACACGAGTATTAACACGAAGGCTTTCGCTAACAATGTTATTCACGGTAACTTATCTTTGGGTTCGATCGCGGAAATGTAAAACTAATTCCACTCGACCACAGGCAAGGTTTGACACGTGAGAAAAACGTGCCAATTTGTTACTGCTGTTGGAGAGCAAACCCACAACATGTACAATTCGAGTACGATGTTTTTCTGGTAATTTTTCAACCAGCATCATCAGGTGATTTCCAGTATTGCGAAGACATCTTCCTGTCTTCAGTCTTAAATCTGGTCAGGTGATATCATCACTGTGTGCCTACAAGTGCGAAGGACGCGGGGGGGGGGGGGGGCAGCAGTGAAAAACAGGAAAGACTTCTTCACAATTTTGGCAATCGTCTGGATTGATGCTGTTTGTATTCCCCAGCGAAACGCCATCTCACCCAGAAAACTTTAACAGGAAAAATCCGTTGTTGTCCATAACGTGGGGGAGGCTCTCATCTCGCGGTGGATTGACAACAGGACCGCACGCATCACCGACTGTTGTGAACCTTGGAATAGAACTTGGCAACGATTTGTTGTCGGAGTAATGGGGGCAGGGAAGGAGGCTGAGATGGGTGGGACACGTGTGCAGGATGGAGGGGCGGGGTTACCGAGACGGGTTTTCACGTGGCACCCAAAGGTCTGAGATAAAGCGGAAGAGCATAAACCAGATGGTGTGAGAATTTATAAGTGGACCTTGAAGATCAGATGTTGACCTTGCAGCAACTGTGGGATTTTGGAGAAGGATGCGGGTTCGTGAGTTATGGAGTCATCGACGGCATTGACCATGAGGACCTCTTGACCTTTGACCTCTTGACCTCAAGACAGTTCAGGTGTCCCGCACCCCCAATAGTCCAGTCACTTACTGGTCGGGGTTGGTGTATCGAGCACAAATGGAGCCTGCGTCTGCATGAGACACCGACCCTCGAGGCAATACAGCAAGTAGTTCTGCTGCATACTGCTCGGGCTATCTGTGCATCATTGTGACTTGCACATGTGACTATTCATCCACCACATCCACCACAAGTATATAAATACGCAAAGTAATTGGCCAAACAGCCCAATGCAAATCAGTCCTGGAATTTTCCCATTTAGAAGTCTGTGCTTTCCAGTCCTCGGTGATGGGAATTCCATATTCCCAGGAATAGCCACAATTGACTTCCACCGATGTGATAGTCGTTTTTATCTTACTTGGAACAATGCCGGTTAGTATCTTTTAACCGAGATTTGAATTTGTAACC